GGTTGAATATGAATACGTTTGCTGAATTCAGAGAATCCAACAAACACCACGCTGCTGTTGAGCGATTGGTCTTCGCAAACAGTTGTTCACGGTTTTTAGGGCTAACTGAGTCCCTAGGACAGAAGATATTCTGACCTTAAAACGGCTTTAGCCGATGCACCAAAAAATGTGGTGTCTAGGCGGAAGGGTGGCGCCTTTATGCTATTCGAGAGAGAATTGTTCTCCCTCTTAACGGTGGTTCAAAGTAGAGTGAGGATAAAGTTTATCCTTATAGCACAAAAAAGCGTGTGGTCGTGCTCGTCGACCAAAACCTAACTGAGGTACTCGCCCCGCCCCCCTAGGAGCGGGTGTGGTGGCGGGTTCTGGCTCAAAGGCCAGAACACCGGGGTCGTCTGAGGATACTTGTGTGGGACATATTCGCGGTGAAAAATAATACATGTTGCGGTGAGGTACGATTTTCTTTCCGACGGGAATGTTGATGCAAATGTCCACTTGAGTTCAATACACTGAACATGTTGCAAAGTGCTGCAGATATACCAGGCCGTTTTCTATACATCCTATACCATTTCATGATGCTAGTTTCGTGTTTACGCCACGCCTTCAAATTTAAAAAAATTGCTGGACGGCATTCAAAGCGCAAAGTGCAGGAAAGGGCTATGAGTCAGGCAGCGAAGATTGTCAAAGCGTGTACGATCAAGAATTCTGTTTTTTTTTCGCCTTTCTTTGCATTTTGATACCCCTCCGAAGACCGTGGTGAGGAGATGTTCGTTGCGACACGTATACTTTTTCATATGATGACATTCTGAACCTAAGTAAATCAAGAGCAGCTAAGCTAGTATAGGTTTTGAAGGGGAAACTTGGCGAAAAGGGCCGCAAAAAACCTGAGACCCTGGGGCGGGTGTTCTGACCAGAGGTACGTTTTACCTTTGATAAAACGTTTTCGGTGTTGACCTCTTTCAGTTCTTACCATGCGCACTGCACCTTCCCCACCGGCTGGATGCGAGTTTTTGAAAAGAGATTTCAGAAAAGTCGGACAAGAGGTATTTCTGAAAGGATCGGGGTCCACCAAAAATTCCCTGATAAGGAACTCCTGCGACAGTGACCACTAACAATTCAATGTATGCCACTCAAGAGTTTCTCTCTGCAACCATGAATACAATATGGCCTATCATGATGCAGTGTCTACTAAAAAAAAGACCAAGCAAGAGTTGAGTTAGTTAAGTTTTTATCTTCTTGAGCACAGGTAACACTGTACGTTAGTACTTTATAAGCCACATAAGTTTACGTCCTGTTACAACAAAGAACAAGAATAACAAATGATTAATGTACAACCCGAACAAGAGTGAACCGGATAATAACCCGAACATAAGTAAATCGAATAATCTAATCTCCGACAATGTTCACAATGTAATGCACATTAGGTGCAGAATATCCTAATAAAGAAGACTAAAAAAGAGTCAATGAATATTTTCGTCTTCTTTGAGCACAGCAAAAACTACTGTCATTCGAAAAAAACAACATAATTAACACGCACAGTTAACATTCTCATTATTAGTAAAGAGCAACAATAACAAGTATTTGCAATGCCACCTTAACACCGAAATTTCCTAAGGCGCAGTTTAGCTCAATGGAGGTAAGGCTATAAATGACAGGTTCGCATCTGTAAAAGCTCATAGTAAAGATATAATAAATTTCCACAGACTTATCAAGTCTTCGCACTCTAAGAGCTAGAGAGAAGCAATAGACATTTCATGATTGTAACATTATGTAATTTAAGTTATGTCGGGCACGGGTATGCCTTCGGGGCATTAGCGGAGGAGGTGCACTGTGGTAAATCCACAAGTAAGATAGTGTACGAAGTGGCGGGGGCAATTACGATTGGTGAGGATGATATTTTGGCAGAGTTAGCGTGAGCTTAACGACTTATTATGTCAGTGCTCTTCGAAGAGGCATTCCCTCCGATCACACGGACGGATCTGGAGGAGGTGGCACGAAAAACGCAGGAGAGATACGACTATCCACGTGCTGTAGGCTTCTTGGATGGGAAACACATAAAAATTAGGGTGAGATGGGAGATCACTGCCCCGAGCGTAGACAGTATGATACTTATTTCAGAAGCCTGCTCAGGAAGTGCGTATTTCAACTATAAGAGGTGGTTCTCTATAATCCTGCTAGCATTGGTCGACTGCGACTACCGCATTCTTGCATTCGACCTGGATGCGCCAGGGCGAGTGGGAGATGCCGGAGTCCTCAGAAACTCCAACATCAATGTGTATATGAAGAACCGCTGAATACCCAGAATATAATGCACATATTCAGCGTTTCTTCGGAAGGAGAGACGACATTTTTCCACCTACGCGGGAGTTAGGAGCAGTTGGAGCGGTGCAATACCACATCCTAGTAGACTGTGGTTTTGGCCAGTGGCATCGCTATGTTCAACCGTACTCCCAGCAGCTGCGGATACGGCCAGTAAGCGCAGATTCGAAGACTGACTTCACTCGCTTCAGTACTACATGAAACTGAGCACACTCTGTTTAATGCTCGGCTGTGGTGGAATCTACTTTCGGCATACTATGCCGACGATTGCCATTCTGCATCACACCATTCAATTAGAACCAGAGGACGCTACCAAAGTCGTAACACCACTGCTGGTATGGGTTGGACAGTGTGATTACTTCAATTACTTCAATTACTTCAATTACATGACTAATGGGAACTGTTTCAGGTATTGCACAATCTGCTGGCAAGAAGGCAGAACGCCGAAGGCGAAGGCGTCGCGAGATTTCCAGCTGCTTCTGGAGAACTCAGTCCCCTCGAAGAAGCCTCCACCGCGGAAGGAGAAGTTGAAGCGGCGGTTAGAGCGAGGGAACGAATAAGGGCCCCCTGCGATGATCTCTATGGAACCCCTCGCTGAACGTGAGTGCAGTTTGCCTCCATTATGATAACCCCTTATCCTGCGCATGGGCTGCGCAGGATGGCTACTCACCTGCGCCATTCTCTTTGGGCCAAAGCGTCACATCTTCGCCCAAGTTCACCAGCACAGGTGTGTCTTCAGTGCTCTGTCCACCTCCCTTAAATGGAGAGCTATCCACATGCTTGAAACCGATGAGGTTTATTGCGTCCTTCTTGGTAAGAAAGACATGAATCACACCGAAGTGGTCGTATTTTTTATCTATTTTCGTGTCCTCCGCACTTGCAAGTTTCTCTACCTGGATTTTTACTGCGTTACTGCGTTTCACGACTTTCAAGGGGTCTAGAAAGTAATACGATAATTAAGCAACCATCACCAATTCCCCTTCACGGATTCCAACCTTTCTCTGACGACTTACTTTCCTCCGATCGAGGGATCTTTCTTGGTGGTTCACCCAACTTCAAATTGGCGGTCTGTGGCCTCTCAATTCCTCCGTCGGAATCAGCATCTATAGAGTCTCCAGATATGTCCAGATTGTAGACAGTAGGTCTGAAAATAGTGAACTAGCAGAAGAATTTCTCAGTTAGTTTTTTGACGAAGCAACACATCCCTTAAACTCAGCCTGGTCAAGGAACTATAACATATCGTCAAACATCCACTTTCTTCCTTCTGCAGATCCTGTGCTAGCACATCTCTTTTTTCGCCACAAATCACGATAGTTTTTCCACGAGCCCTTGAGCTCGACACTAAGATTACAATCATCACCGAGCTCATTCACAGCGATTGACAAGACCTACAGTTGTACGTGCAGCCTTTCGAGCGCGTTGCGTTATATATTCTCTCCCACGCGCATTGACGTCGTTCATTGGATTTGTAGTCATCTGATGCGTTGTTCCATATGCTCGGCTCCATTTCGACCACCTCTGTCAAACATGTGCGGTACTTGTCCCGGCCCGACAGCGACTTCTAAACATAATTTTCTCCTTGTTGCGCGCAATAGAACTGAGCATCCTGTTTTTTTTTTCCAGGCTGCTACGCCTCCTTCTCAATGTCCTCTTTCGGCGGTACTGACGGCCCTATGAAGTGTCCACGCCTTTCAAAAGGGTACAAATTCTTGAAGAATAAATCACATTCCTTGTGCATAAAGATTGTTTCTCTGTTGTAAACAGATTCACTATTCATGTGAATCTGTTCAAGCGCTTCCGGTTCGCCATACCACAACCCATTCAAAAGTCGTAACGTCGAAGGCACCCACAGCTTGCGGAACTGTATTTTAGCCCATTCCCGCGACTTCTACAATTGACGCGTTGAAGAAATTACGAGCCACAGTTGGCTCATAACATTGTGCACCAACTTTTGGATTATTGTCGTCAGTTTCTATCGGACTTGTGAAAGGCGAACTCCGATCACGGGTTTTACGCCGTATTTGTCGCCGCCACTACCTTTTTGTAACGAAGTCTTCATTATACTGTGGATATGTTTGCTCCCCTGCGAAAGACCAGAATTGCCAGGAACTTCGGGATTTTGAAAGAGTGAAGTCAGCTAACAGCGAACTACGATGAAACAAAAAAAACACACTAAACTCGACATAAACTCGTAAAAGTACTCTGGAAGAAATAAATTGGAGCAGCAAAAAGCAATAAAGGAATAGATAACAGCTCTCGAGACTGATAACAAAGTTCTGAAATAGACATCTATAATGAACTATGAAGAAGGATCTTCAGTAAACAAAAACCAATCCGTGGCTGTGTCCATACCTTTCCTAAATTTCCTCTTCTTCTCCAACTTCTCCTTTTTCGGGAACGGTTGTAGTGGCCTCGCTCCCAAACTATAATACGTACTCTCGATTTAACGTTCAGCGATACAGATCAAAAATATGACTGTTAATCACACTATCAGCTTCCGTCTGATCTTTACGTGAAATCGGCCTTTTCGGTGCGGTCGCTGGCCGTACTTCCTTACTTGAGCGCTCCTCTTCCAAACTGTGGACAAGCGCACAAGCAATAACGAGTATCAAATCTCAAAAAACAATTCAATCACCATGACCACAAACGGCATTACGGAATTTGCCTACACCAAGTCTAGATTGCTTCGCATTACAAAAGCATCTGCACTATTAGACAAAACAGCCTTACCTTATGTTAAGTGGCTTTCCTTACTTGAGGCTCCTCTTCCAAACTTGGACAACCGCAAACGAGTCTCGATTCTGAAAAGAAATAAACTATACTCAATACAGTCAACGCACAGCCTTTGCATTGTGGAAATTGCTTCCACCAAGTCTAGAGGCTTCGCATGACAAATGTGTAAGGGCGCTAACGTATTGAGGCGGGGTAGGACCACGCACGGCGAGTGACGACCCATCTGCTCTTCCGCTTCTTCCTCGACGAAATAGAAGTAATTTCCATGTTCAGGGCATGAACATAACACTGCTATATTCAAAAAGTAAAACAGTCAACGCTCAAAAGTGCAAAGAAACAACTGTAGGGTAGAAGATACTTTCCTAATCAATAAGGGAATTAATTCTCGGCTAGCTGAACCCTTTCGACTTTGTAAAAATGAAAATGCCACTATTAAATAAGTTGAATGGCCCGCAGAATCCAAAGAGAAAACTAATAGCTCACTAGGAAATCGGAGAAATTGAATCTTGAGCGGTTTTCACGCAATAGAATCACAAGGCATTTCACCCCACCAATTCACTTCACCTGTTACTCGAAGTCCATTTGTTTTCAGCTTCTGTGAGGTTTCTCAGCAAGTTCCCATTGAATCTTGTTTGTTTTTTTTCTAATTTGGCTGCTACATTCGCGCTCAAGTATCCCGAAGAATGAAGAGCCGATCAGCCATCTCTCGCCGAATCAACACAAATGCCGTGCTCCAAAAAAATCGTGCAAAAAGAATCGGCAGGAAAAATCATGAAAACCCGTGTTCATGAAGTCAAATATATGAAACAGTGTTGATGATGGTAAATAACCCAAGACCTATAAGTCGTGCTCTCGCTGCGACCATACTGGTATATTTCTCGTGGCATATACAGTCCAGTAGGTGAATGAAGAGTGTAAAGGGGAGGAGGCAGAAAAAGACGGAAGGAATAGAAGGAAGGAGGACGAAAAAAAACAAGCAACAATGGGCAAGTGGACGTTGCCAGTGAATCGATGGAACTAAGGCACACGACGCGTCTTCAAGCGTTGCGGTTTCGACGCTCGAGTTTTCGCCAGCGGTTTTCGTCTGGGCGCCCTCTTTCGCGAGCGTTTTTCGACAAACCGTACCGCTCAATCGCGCATCGATACACACCAAAAGCCCTTTCGCCCAACGCCAGGCTCTTCGCCCAACCGCCAGTCGATATGTATCGAAAGCTTTTCGCCGAACCGCCGCGTTTCAGAGAAACGCTGGACCGCAGACTGTGAACAATGCCGTACCTTGCGTGAGCTCCCTGCATTTCGACCTACGGCTCTGCGCCACTGACCGTTTTCCTAGAGCGGTTGCTCACGTAATGTCCATTTTCTGAGCGGTTACGCTAATATTCGAACACAGAGACCTTTGGTTTGCATATAGCGAGAAATGTGAAAAAAATGCAAAGAAAGTCAGAAACTAAAGTATGAAGTTTGGGAAATCGCGCTCGCGCTGAAAAGTAGGTGTGGTCATGGGGGCGAGGCCTGTGATAGAGTCCAGTGCGGACGAAGACGGTGGGAATAGCGCCTTGTGCAAGACTGCCCAATCATTCTGCGAAATTCAACGGAGCGACAAAAAACTGGTCTATTAGGGACAATATGAGCCACCAGTGGCTCATGCTTTGGATGCAAGCGAGAAAGCGGCATAGTTCCTAGGCGCTTTCCCGCCAACGCAGTAGTCGTCAAAGTGTCAAAAGAGCTCGCACGACCAGACTATGAGTAGTCAGTCTCACCGCAGGGCTCCCAAAAGCGGTAGCACTGAAAATAAAGAGCGCGTAGTGCATAACATAACATGCATAACATGCAAAAGGGCGCGTTAGACGTAATGAGCCCACCCACGCCTGCGTTTACTGCCAACAACCAGCAGGACCAGTTTCGGTCGGCAAAAGCACGGTAGAAAAAGCAGCTGAGGGGGGGGGCTCATTCTGCACTTCCGACAACGCCCTCTCGCTTCGTCGCACTGGGATACAATTCACCTTACTAGGGAGGTCGCCAGGTCGAAGGTGGCCACTGGTAATGAGATGTGACTCGCGGGACGTGGTTCTGGACGCTGATCTCAAATCTGCCAAAACGAACGATTCTCTGAACGGAGTGGAGCTTTTCCTCCGCGTTTACCACGCAACAGGTCATGGGATCGGATCCCTGCTGAGCTTAACTTTTTTGCTTCTTGCGCAAACGTGGCAAAAAGTGGTTGTGGCGTCACTACTACATTAGCGCTCTCCTTGACTTGCCTGAAAAACAGTTTGCGTTCGCTTACTGGCGCGCTTAGTGCCTTATGATCTAGGAGAATTTTTGGATGTACAGGTGCCCTTGGCGCGCAGTGCAGGCGTTTTCGCGCTGAGCGAGTGCCATATTCGTGTTTATCGGGGCGAACTACGCCTAGGTAGAGGTTTCTAGCCAAATCTGGCATTTTGACCTGACTTCGAAAAGTGAAGCATCCATGGGTTAGTTCAGTTGATGTTCACACCTATTCAGCTGCAGATACATTCTCCTGCACAAAGCCTCGTCTTGCCACTTCTTACGCATTCATTTTGTTACTGCTCCAGTTTTCCTGGTATCTAAAAGCAAATTCCGTCCAAAGACAAGCAATCGACAAGAGACTGGCCCTGGAACTATTGGTGACCATCATTCGATCAACTGCTACCGCACTTTTCAAAGTTAGGTCAAAACCTCACATCTGGCTAGAAACCTGTCCCCAAGGGTAGTTTTGCTCCCTGAACACGAATATGGCACCCATTTGGCGTTTGAGTGTTTTCTAGACTCAAAAGAGACATTCCTCACGAAATGCAAAAATGTCCCCTCGTAAAAATCCCAACCCTCCATGGCACGCCCACGAAGCAAGACCGTTACCACTACACCATGCCACCGTTGCGTGTAAAGGGGCTTCGCGGCTACTTCATGCAAATTGGCGAGCAACCGCGCCGGCTCCCTTCATTCAAGCTCTAATGAACCTCCATATTTCCTTAAGAGAATCGTTCTGCAAATTTCGAAGGCAGATTTGAAATTAGCGTTCAAAAACACGTCTTGTGACATACGTCTCTTTACAAATGGCTTCTTCGACCTAGCGACTTCCACTTATTACGGCTCTTTTTCAAATCAGAGACAATGAATTCATAATTAGTTATAGTTCTTTCAGCAAAAACTTCTCCCCTCAAATCAGTCAGCGAAAAATTGACGGCCTTCTTTCACACATGTTGATTGTTAAAAATTCAATTCAAAAGTAACATGCAGTACAAGAATGGCTTGTTATGCATGATATGTTATGTACTACGCGCTCTTTATTTTCAGAGCTACCGCTTTTGGAAGCCCTGCGGTGAGACTGACTACTCATAGTCTGGTCGTGCGCGCTCTTTTGACACTTTGACGACTACTGCGTTGGCGGGAAAGCTCCTAGGACTATGCCGCTTTCTCGCTTACATCCACAGCATGAGCCACTGGTGGCTCATATTGTCCCTAATAGACCAGTTTTTTGTCGCTCCGTTGAATTTCGCAGAATGATTGGGCAGTCTTGCACAAGGCGCTATTCCCACCGTCTTCGTCCGCACTGGACTCTATCACAGGCCTCGGCCCCACGACCACACCTACTTTTCAACGCGAGCGCGATTTCCCAAACTTCATACTGTAGTTTCTGACTTTTTTGCATTTCTTTTCACTATCCCGCTATATGCAAACCAGAGGTTTCTGTGTTC